ATATTTGATTGTACATTAGGAAGATTACTGGCGATCAAATCAATACACGACATTTTTCTAGTTGGTTTACAAATGTGGTTATTTAAGTTATGATTGTATAAAATAGAATATAGTTCTTTAGAATGAATATCATTTTTCAAAATATCTATGTTCCAATCTCCACAAACTATAATTCTTTTATTATTTTTCTTAGTAAGTTTATTTAAAGTTGTTCAAATTTTTCAAAAAATAATTTTATATTAGAATTTGGAATCCGATATATACATACAACGCAAATACCTAGTGTAATTATCTCAATAGCACAGAATTCAAATGTATAAATTACCGAGTTCGGTAGGTTTTTTATGGGTTGATAATCCAATTCCTTCCTAAGTAATATGCAGGTGCCACCTCTACGCTGATTCGGTCTTGAAAAGGTCGATGCTAATTTGTAGTTATTAAGCTTTAGATTAGACTTCGTACCCTGATTCATAAAAGTTTCACTAATGCATATTATATCAATACTTTTATTTTCATTTTCTAAATCAATATTTTTATTTTCTAAATCAAGAAGTGCAAGTTCAAATAAGTCTTTTTTATGTAACATCCCAGCGATATTTGGATGTAGTAAGGTATATTTTTTTCACTATCGAAAAAATATTGAATCATTACCATTATTCATTAAATTTTGTTTAGGGTCTACTTTACTTTTCTCTTTCTGTTTATAGAAACAATATGGGATAGTTTCTTTTATTTTGCTTAGTTCTTTTAAGTTTATTTTATTTACTCTAGTGCTACCAGGTGTTATACCAGCACACCTTGATCTTAGTAACGATCGAAAAAGTTTTTCGTAATTAAAATTATCTATTTCTATATTTAATTTAGAACACAAGAAATGTTTCGGTATCCAATGCGTGTTACTATCAAATTATTACTTATGTCAACAAAATAACAGTTTGAAAAATTCTGAACAAATAATTTCTCTATTCAACAATTTGACATTTAAAAAAAAATACATGTGGCACTCGGTGACTGCCGCGGTAAAGCTATTGCATAGCATTTTTTATCAACTTATGCAATTATAATTATTTATTTATTTTATTTATGCAGTTAAGTCTTTGATATTAAATCAAGTTACACTTTTTGAGCGTGGTGACAGATAAAAAAACATTTTTTTCTCTTATTGAATAAATGAGAAGTTAATATTGTTTAAAATATTTTTAATATATTACAATACATGTAGGTTATTCAGGAATTTTTATCATTGAGTTAGCAGCTAGTGTACACGCATACGTCTAGTCGCACGCACACAAACACCGTGCCGAAGTCTGCCGAACTGAAACGACGTTAGACGATGCACAGCTTTCAACGCCACACCTCCGTGCCCGTCGGAGTGGGGAGCGTGAGGTTTTTTTCGTTACGGAATTTCTGGATTCGGTCCCCGCGCTCAAGGCCCGCGATAGAAGCTATGCAATAGCTTAAAATTCATTATTAAATACGTTCAATACAAAGACGTTGTTATTCTTTAACTTGCAAAGTGTAGAACAAAATTCAGTCAGAAATGTATACGGATTTTTTTCATTACTTCCTACACCTAAAATAATAATGTCATCTGTATTCAAAGTCTCTAATATATTATCAATATTATCAAATATTTGCGCGCTTGCATTTGGTTTGTATATTCCAGAAACAGAGTAAACATTGTTCCATTTGTTTTTACATCTCTGCTTATACATTTCTTGAGCGAGTCCTCATACTTGCTGATCTCCTAAGATTATGATTTTTGGTGTTGACGAAGTATTTTTAATTTCTTTATAGTAATTTTTTCTATTTTTGCATGTACATGGTCTGAAGTCTCTTTATCTTTGGGTTTATTTTCAATTTTGTATTCATTTGTTATACCCGTATTAGTAGGATTTATATATGTAAGTTTTTTTGCGAATAATTTCAGAAGCATTCAGTGGTGATATTCTAGGCATCTTAGTTTGCAAATAAATCATTTTTTTTGCTTAATGGAATAGGTGTTCGCTTTGCAATGGGTGTAAGTAATCTTATCATCACCAGTGAGGTTTTTTAAGCAGTGTTCTGTCTTTCTCTTGTAATTTTAAATTCAATATTTGAATCTGCGAATTTAGTTCTGCAATTTCATTGTGCGCTGATTCTAGTTCCGTTTTTACTGAGGACAATTGTAGGCTTAACTCATCGACAGTTGATTTATTCAGGGCGTGGATTAAGTGGTCACTGTGACCAGTTGTATCAGAGTGTAATTTGTTACCGACTGACTTATTTGGAAGTTCTCAGGATCGTCAGAGAAAGTACTCTTTCGTCTTCTCATTGTAATGTTTTCATAATTTTATTCGATTTTATTAAATGTCAAATTACCTAATAACCTTACAATGTAAAATAAAAATAAAACAAATATCAAATTAAAAAACAAATAAATAAATAACAGTAGTAATGTTAAAAATTATACAAAGTATAAACAAAATAATAAAAGGTAAATTAAATAAAGACTAAAATATAAATTTTTAAATTACTACAACATTAAACAACAACTAAAAACTAAGTCTAATATATAATCTAATTAGGCTGGTTTAGAACTCAGATTTCTTGAATTCGTTCGGTAACCATATGTGTTACAATCCATTACACCAATCTAGTACATCGTATTACAGTCAAAATAACGTTCTAGTTATCAAAACTTTCGTTAAACCTAGAAATAATGAGTATATTTGAAATTTAGTAACACCGTCTTTACAATATTATTACAATTAACACAACAAAATTTTACACAAATTTTCTTTCTCACAGTTTTAGAAATAGTCATTAAAGTTAATTAATGTTTGGTAAGTTTGTAATTAATTGTTTTTTGAACACTTGAAAGTTGATTATAACCACGTTAGTTTTAGAACGATATTTAAAATATTGCTTAATTATAATGCAAAATAACACTCCCACTTCTTTACTGTTATGTTTACGTCGCACTGAATGAGTTAATTTTTAGATTAATGATCTGGAAATACTTTTAAATTGTAAAAATATACGGAGTCGATTCTGCAACCGCGAGTACTTGCGGGAAGTGCAGCCCCTTCGTCCTTGCGTGCCACCAAATCACAGGCACCCATACTCGCCACCACAGCTTCGGCTTATTGGTCGCCTTCGGCGAACAGCCTCAGTTGGTACGGCTCACACAGATGCCTGCGATTTGCTACAGCCAGCGGGGTCTGCTCTCCCTTCGCTCCTACTGCTTTACAAAAACACTATAGGGTAGGGCAGACAAGACTACGCGAAGTCGGGGCGTTCTGATTCGGTTTTAGTACATATTTGACCTATCTTATCAATAATAATTGCTCATTCTCAAGTCCGGTAAGCAAGTCAAAGTCGAAAGTAACACAATCAAATGATATCCAGAACAAAAGTCTCGGTCGTTTTACCTGGTATTCAATTTTGAGCATTAGTTAATTCTAGTTACAACAAAGGCATTAAGTAAAAACTAGTTTTAACTAGGGAAAATGCGTTCTATCTAAAAACGGGTTTTAACTGTAACATACCTATGTAAAAATATTAGAATGTTAAAAATTATGTTATAATATCGTTTATCTACGAAACTCTGATGGGGAAAAAATACTTACTGTTTTTCAAATGTTTTATTCTTTCAAACAAAACAAAATTACCACACTGGAACATGAAAAACGATTTAGGAAATCTTTAAATATTGAAGTAGCTTCTCTGGAACTTTACCATTGGAGAAAGGTGACGACTCCCTGCGATGTTTAAATAATACATATTGTCAAGTATATCCCGTTTTTTACTTAAATTGTTGATGTTATTTATTATTTTAACATGTCCTTATATATTTAGTCTTGATTTTTTAACTATTGGATTAGAGAAAAATACTAATGTTATAATTCATACGCAATATATTATGTCATGATCATAATACCATTTACGCTAAAATTTGTACCTAGTGAGGCAATATTTTAGAAAATGTTTTGTCATTTTCTCCAACGTCGGTGAGCTTCTGTTGTAAAACTATTTTGCTATTATTTCTGTTTTATGGAACGAAAACAAGTTTTTACTATAGATTGTGACAGTTTTAATATACATAAATATGTATGCACGATACATAAAATAAATTTTCGTATAATTAATAACATTGAAATATATTTGACTTCCCAATGCTAGGTATAATGCACGCATTATTTATACAAATCAATGTTTCCAATACATATTGTATATTAGTTTGTTGTGTACTGTGCCAGCGTTGTGTGCTCCACGAGGAATGCCCATTGGATTCTTTGGTGGGTATTTTTAACCACAGGCTAAAAGAGGGGTGTTATGCGATTGACGTAATGTTTAGGTGACGATGACAGTGCAAGACTGTTTGTTTGTGTCTGTTAAAACAATAACTTGTTATTTAATATGGAATTTAGTGCTTTGTCTAAAAAAAATAGAAGTAATGAAATAGTTACACCTTTTAATATAACATTTTAACCAATTTTAAAACAATAACATATACGTTATTGTTATATGCAGATACATACATATAATATTGAACCACTGTGCATATTAAATCCAAAAATAAAGGCTAAGTGATAATATTCGCTGCGGCGTTGTGCGATATACCGCGTTCCAGATACGTCGTCGCTGGCACAGCATTACTACCTGGCGGAAATCGCTTTGCGACAGCATTGTTATCCGCTTTCCCAGACTTTACATATTACAAAATAAAACGAAGCTTAGAAATTTCTCATAATAGGTACCTACCAGTTGTAAACCATTCCATAGAGTTCTTTGTACGGGCTTTTGTCTGCTCGTATTTTGCAAGTAGTGAAATACGATATTGACAGATCAATGCTTTCGCTTGTATTATGATAAGCATTGATCTGCCGTTATCGCATTTCATACAACCTTGTTTTATCTTAAAACTTTCTGAGTACGTCATATTCGTTTAGTGTTGCAATAAAAGTTTTCAATTCAGTGTTTTATATTTTTACAGGCAATGAACACTTGACCGCGCGATGGAGCATAGAGAAGGATGGGGTGGAGGATCAGCCGCGGCCGAAAACACTACTGACCGCTCGCAAGCCGAGAGAGACCGCGTGCGTATTGAGTTCTATGCCACGTACGACGTCATGACGGGCGTGCGCATAGCCGCCACACTTGGTGGCTTCTTTGCGCTGATGGTATTCCTTATCGTTTACAAAAGCCGAAGTAAATCCGTGAAGGCGTTAAACGATCCGAAGATCGTGGAACTGGCAGAAGCAGTAGTGGCAGAGGAGCAGGCAGTAGAAGCGGAGCGACAATTGACGCTCGCGTTAGAAGAGGCGCTCTCTGAACGCGCTCGCTCACGGCCATCTATCGGGGAAGAACCGCCGTGGCCGAGGAGGTCACGTTTTGCATCGTACGGTGGTGGCTACGGCAGCTTGTTAACGCCTCCACGACGATTGTCAACGCTGCGTGGGGACTCGCTGCCCGGCTCCGCGCTACGGGTCTTGGAGCGACGAACCTCAACGTGCCGCGGGCCACGCGACCGGCGTTTAAGCTCTGCAACTTGCTCGAGTTCCGGCAGTTCGTATCTAGAGCGGCGCGGGTCGTCGGTCGTTTGTGCGTTACCCGAGAGACGTCTATCACCGTGTCCCAGCGAGCGGTTAGCGCCGCTTGCGTCCGCAGGAAGTGTGGGTCCATCGTTCGCCATGGACGGAGACCTGGCATCAGTGGGCCCGGATTCAGTGTTCGAGGAAGACGATGATTCTACGGACGACGAGGTGGAACAGTTCTCGACGGACAGTGGCGGTGGGGAGTGTACGGAGCTGTCTTGTCGGCCAGCGCAGCCGCGTCACGACCGGGCCTCGCACTCCCGCGAGACTCTTTTCTAGTCCCGCCTATATCCACCGGATGTTACGTGTTATCAACGTGTTAAAATATCGACTCGATCGAATGCATACTGTAGTGTTAGTAACATATCACGATAAATCTTTATTCGACATATCATTTTAAAAAAATTGTCAAAAAATTGTTATTGTTGAATTGATCAAAACTGTAAATGTAAAATTTAAATTGACTCTTAATCATTCCATTGTTAAATTGAAAGACAAATTTTCTCATAAATTATTAACAATATTCTTATAAAATGGATGATGATACTCATTTAATAAAATCTAACGATATATTTCTTTACTCTAAACTCTAAATCTTTTATGTAAACTAAAACAAACGAAAGCGTCGATATTTTAATATGTGCCTAAAGTATGTAAATAGTTTGTTTTGTTAATATTGATGTTTCATGATGTTGATGTTTTCAGGCCATGATAAGATTTATTTGTATAGGGTTACGTGAACGTTATGTCCGCTCGAACGTAAACTGCTGAGTCGAAATGTTGAGCTTCGTGATATTTATTAGCTAATCTTTTCTTTTATTCCATCTTTCTGACTTTTCCACATTGTTACCATCCATCCATCCATCATGTTAGAAACATTCTACCGTAGAGATGTTATAGCTGAGATAGGGTGTTAATGTGGGCAACACTAATATATATAATATAATAGTATGTATATGTATTTATGCTCGAAGCGCACACGTAAATAAAAATAACATTAATATAATTTTATTTTTTTCTTCTGACCAGTGACTGATTTAAAGTTTGCTCTATTTACTATTTATAATATCGCAATGGTTTCTAAAAGACGGGAGTCACCGGATATTTGTTTATTCTTTGTTTAAAGCTGACTGATACAAAGTAACAGTAATAGCGTTAACCTCAACTGGATATCTGATTCACCGTTTAGTGTTCTTTTAAAAATTGTAGGTAATATAAAGATCTGCCGAATTAATCTTTTATAGGCATATAAATACATATTTATATTTAGGACTTAACAGGTGTCTGAAAGTTTTTACTCGTGTACATAACTAATAAGATAGAAATGAAAAACACTGGTAAATTTTTTTACGATACTTCTCGCCAGTTGCCTAATAGTCTGAAGTCAATGTATTATTTACTATTTATAATATCTCAATGGTTAATAAACAATTTTTTTTACTTTAAAAATATATAAACCTCTATTGTATGTAACCTTGGAATCTGTTGCGACGACATTTTTACAATGCAATGGACATGATCGCGTTCCAGACGCTCATAAATATGTATTTTTATCATGCTTATTGCATCTTTAGTTCGGCTTATGAAAGTAGGTCATTGTATTAGTTATTATAGCACTTGACTAAGTGTTTGTGACGCTAATGTTGGACTATTTACTATTATGTCATTCAAAACGTGTGATACCATACTAGTCAATTGTTTTTGTATATTTTTTTCATTAATCTATAGTCTATATAGAGTAGGAATGCCGCAAAATGTATATTCCTTATTATTTTTGTACAATAATTATACTTCCATAATTTTTTGTTTATAATGGAAATTGTTCTTTTTTTGTTAATATAAACAAATGTTTAAAAATTAAGAGAGGTATTTTACACTTTTATGATTATGCAGTTGTAAACTTGCATTTAATTTGAAAAAAATTGTGTGGTTTCTCAGTGAATATACTATGAACATTGGTTTCTGTGGTCTGTTATTGAGCGTGTCAGTTATTCCACAAAGATCAAGCAATAGCCTCAATCTTATCTCATTGTAAAATCAGTGCTAACTTTGAGTGGCCCTTTGCATAAATCCCGACTGTTTATATCGCTTACATAAGAAAAAACTTGTGAGACAAATTAGTCTATCGTATCAAGCAAGTTAAATAGTTTCCGACGAACTTTTAACTTAGGAACAATGACTCTGTTGAAAACTTTTACATTGTGAGCGAGTTTACACAACCTTTCTGTCAACCTTTCTGAAACGAGGTTATCCTTCCAAAGTTCGCCGTACATGGTGTATGTAAAATGTAGATAGTACTAACTTGTTAGGGTAGATGTCAGTGCAATATAAATTAAAAAATGTGTAATTGTAAAATTAGTTGTTTGCGACTACCCTCAAATATTGAAGGGCACAAGAGACCTATTACGTCCTTTGAACAATAAAATAAGAGCGCTCGAAGCGGCCTAAAGTGTTGCTCGTACGAAGTCACTCTCCAAAGAAACTGCCACTGTTCTTGTTTAGTACCAATGTTACAAGCACACGGGGATTTTATTGATTCTAGTGTGCCGAGCCCGGCTCACGCGGGCCCAGTAGTTAACTAACACAAGTCGTTTTTATTACGATCTAGATTTACATGTTAGTTTATGTAACTGTACGTTGCTCGAGTTAAAAAGAGCTACCAGTAGCATGTAAAATGTTGAAATGTATGAAAAAATATTGTAAATATAAAAACCAAATCATCTGATGTTTCATTTTTATGAGCGCATTTTTGGTTTCCTGTGTAAACAAATAATGGCGACTTTGGTGCGACATAAAACTATTATAAAGTTTATTATGAACGCGCAAATTTTAAAGTGTTAATTTATTAGACTTGTACTACTTTTAACTAGAGGTAATTGTAGTAGAGATAATTTGTAATAACACAAATTAAAAAGTAACCAAGCAGAGAGCCGTGGTAAGTCAGGGGCTTATCGCTGTAAATTTCACAGTACGCGCCAAAGCCCGCCGGCACGAATTAAATTGTTTATTGCAAATGTAAGTGCTGATTTACCACGTGCTTGGCGGTGAAGGAAAATATCGCAAGGATAACTACATAAGGTGAAATAAAAAACATATTTCGAAGACATGCTACATTTCTTTTTGACATTTCTTTGCCCTAAATACTTCAGAAATGAGAGGAGGCCTCTGCCCAGCAGTGGAACGTATAAAGGCTGTAACTTTAGGTACTCTTTTAGTTTAAAAATACATTAAAGTTGCAAGTTGCTGAGTATTGCGATTGGATTGGCAAGCCCAGCGAGGCGATAGTTGTAAATTATCTCCAATAGGAGTCACGTCTAGCATTGGATGCGGTCTGATGAACTCGCAGCTGCTACCACAGAGTATGACTAAGTCATTAGTATAGCAAGTTGTTGCAGTTTAGCTATGTTGGAGGTTATTTTCAACATAGAGTATATCTGAATAGGCACCACCGCCTTAGGCGATTATGCTAGGTACATTGCGCTGATCAGACCCCCTCTAGCTATTCGAACTGCCTTCATTCTTCTTGGCATACTCCTAATCAAGTTATCAATAAAGTTTCTCAAAGGAAGATCGCTCAAAGGAGCGGAGGCATTTTTTTTTAATTTGTCTCAAGCTTATCCCATACATGCTCTACGGGGTTTAATTCAAGCGAAGGCACTAGCCACTCCATAGCTTAAATTTCAACGTCTCGAAGATAATCGACAACTATGGCCGAAGTATCTAAATCTGTATTTTATAAAAGGGACAAATAGCACTACAATTTCTTTCAAAAATCTCACTTATATACTAGGTTGTTCCTGTCATATTAAAATCTTTTTAATTGAAAACTCCTTGGTTTTAAAAATCGAATACCTTTTATTTATTAAAAAAAAGATTCTCGGTCTTGTCACAAGGTTTTGTCAAACTTGTTGAGTCGTTGAGAAAATGGAATTGACTCGAGAAAATTCAAGAGCGATGATTTATTATAACTTTCGAGGTGGTTTAACACAAAAACAGTGTGTTGACCGGATGATTTCTGCATTTGGTGATGTAGCCTCATCCAAAACCACAACTTATCGCTGGTTTGCTGAATTTCAGCGTGGACGTGTCAATCTCAGTGATGATCCCCGTCAGGGTCGTCCAAAAACTGCAGTCACCCAAGAAAACGTTGATGCTGTGCGTAAGCTGATTGAGGAAGATTGACATGTGACATACCGCGAAATTCAGGCAACTTTAGACATTGGCATGAGTCAAATACAAATAATCTTGCATGAACAATTACGTGTAAAAAAGTTGTTTTCCCGATGGATACCGCATTCGCTCTGTGAAGATCAAAAAGCGGCTCACGTTACTTGGTGCGTCAGAACTCTCGAAAGATTCCACGCAGGATCCTCAAATGCTGTATACAACATCGTATCAGGTGACGAATCCTGGATACATGCGTACGAACCCGAAACAAAAAACCAGTCACGAGTTTGGGTGCTCGAAAATGAGCCAACAAAAATGTTGGTTCATGGAGTGTTGCAAAAAAAATGGTGGCCACGTTTGTCTCCAAAACCGGCCATGTTACGACTATTCCTCTTGAGAGACAAAGAACGGTTAATGCAGAATGGTATGCTAGCATTTGTTTGCCACAGGTCGTTTCTGAACTCCGTAAAGAGAACTGCAACCGCCGCATCATCCATCACGACAATGCGAGTTCTCACACCGCACACAGAACAAAGAGTTTTTAGAGCAAGAAAACATAGAATTATTAGACCATCCGCCGTACAGCCCCGACCTAAGCAATAATGATTTCTATACTTTCCCTAAAATAAAGAATAAATTGCGTGGACAGAGATTTTCATCACCTGAAGAAGCTGTGGACGCCTACAAAACGGCCATTTTGGAGACCCCAACTTCCGAATGGAATGGTTGCTTCAATGATTGGTTCCATTGTATAGAAAAATGTGTCAAATTTCGCGGAGAATACTTCGAAAAGCAATAAATACATTTTTAAATAGTAATGTTGTGTCACTTCCTTGATTCCCGAAATTTTCAGTGCCGCCCTCGTATCGTGTCGCTGTTCTTAATTACGCGGACTCTTCCGTACGTGTCCCCATCCAAATATCCATCCCTCCACCATATGCCTTTTTTCACAGATGTGACACTGAGAGTACCTCTTCCGGGTGTATCCACACTTTAACCCTTCCATCATCTAGTTTCAGACAAAATTCGGCCAATGCAACATCACATCTCAGATCCGTATGTAATCAATAATAAAAATAAATTGGGAGTGGAAACTCCCCTGCCAAGACAAC